AGAGAGAGAGAGAGAGAGAGAGAGAGAGAGAGAGAGAGAGAGAGACTGTTAGGAAAGCCTGTTGTATTCCTGCTCCTGAGAGTAATGGCTATATTAATAAGTGTCCCCCCCCAAAAAAAAACAAAAAAACAAAAACACGGAAGCTAGATCCTAGTTGTGCTTTGGTCTGCTTGCTAAAAGAAGCTAGATCTCAAAAAAAAAGAAAAAAGCTAGATTCTATTTCCCCTAGAGTTGAAGTTTGCAGCAGCACTCTGTGATCACTAGACTTGGTGCATGCAAGGGGTTTATGCGGGTCTTCTGGGGGTGGGGCCTGTTGCACCCATTCTCAGGATGACGTGCCCTAGTGGAAATGCACCTACAGGGTGCAGGGTGGTTGGGTTTGGTGTAAACAGCTTCAGCCTCCATTGGGAGGCGCTGTTTTGCTCACTGATTTGGTCAGTGCTGATGGGGGGAGGGGAAAAATTACATGACCCCACTCTCTCCTCCCTGGAGCATGGAGTTCATGCCTGCTACTCTTCAGGGAGCTCACACAGAAGAGCCAAACAATCACTCTCTTGTGTCCCTGACTTCTGCTAGATCCCTGCACCCAAGTGGTCTGTCTGCCAGGTAGCAGAAGTCTGTGTTTTATCTCAGGCATGTAGCCGGGCTCCAAAACTCCAAATTTTAGATGTCTATGTGGGGTAGACCCATACTGATTCTCTGAGGGAGGGTCTCACTGAGTTGTGGCCAGTGCTGGTTTGTCCAGAAATCAGTTGTGTGACCATGCAGCAGTTTGGAGTTTATGGTAAAGTGCAACGGAAAGCCAGCACCAAGGTTTGCTGCCCTCAGCTGGTATTCTTTGTTCCTACACTAGGGTATAGGGCAGCACTTTGGTGGTGTCAGCTCTTTTTTCCCTGGAAAGGCCATGCCACCTCTCCCAAATGCACTCTAATCAGGGCAACTGTTTACCCCTGTGTGATGCAGGGGATCCTCGGACCGCACTATCCACTCACAGGTCTCTGCCCTCCTTCCTCACCAGAGCAACTCCAAGTCCACCAGGCATGATGACCCTGGTGCTGGCACTGACTCCAAAACTTCAGACTTTGCACTCCATTGCTTATAAAAACTTGCAGTAGTCAGTCCCTCTTCCTTTTCCAGTCAATGGTTTTGGGGAAGAGTTTTTCTTGAGCATTCCTCTGCGTGCACTTTCATTCTTTCTCTCACTCTGTTTCTCACTCACTCTTCTCTCCATGATCAGGGCTCCTTCACCTTCATGGCCCCTGTAGTTCTTTTCTCCCCCAAATCAACTCTCCACAGGCTCCTACCTTCCACGATGTGGCTATTTTTCCATCTCTAATTGTGCAGTTTTGCTCTCTAAGTCCTCAGATCAATTTCTTGGGTGATCAAAATGATTAGATATTTATCTGGCTGTGCTCAAGGGTCACGGCAAGCGTAGGGTCCCCCTAGGGTCCTCTGCCATCTTAACTCCTCCCCCTAAATGCAGTATTTTCAATTCACATGTTTAAAGTCATGCAAGCTGTATGACTTCCCTGTCAAAATTACTGGTTGCCAAATTTATGCTTGTTTCTTTAGCTGTATCTTTTTTGAGTTTTATATTTTCTGTTATGTAGATGTTATAGAATATAACACCATTGCTGTCTTTGTGACGTGGTGTATGATTGTATGATTTCTGTATGTAAACTGAATGCTTAAGCTTTTGATACAGGATTCTAGAAAGCCGTTAATTTTAGTGTTATAGTGAATAAGTATAATATATAAATGTTGTAAGAACTGTACAAAAATATCGACTGTATCTCAGATTTGGGGCATAAAAAGCCAGTCAAAAAAGAAGTATTTTATGATTCCACTTATGTGAAATTCAGCAATAAGTAAATCTAATCTGTGGTAACAGAAGTTAGAATAGCAATTACCTCTAGTGTGTTGGGATATTGACTGAAAAAGAGCAAGAAATGTTCTACATATTGTTAGGGGTGTTGGTTACATGCATATAGACCTATATATAATCTCATCAAAATCCACTTAAGGTAAGTGCAATTGACAGTATTTGTTATGCCTTGACAAAAGTATAATTATACATGCATGTATATATGCAGACTTATATGTAGACGTATACATATATGTACGTAATTACACCGTATTAATATATAACAAAAATATAAATTACGCTAATGAATACACAGCCACACACATATGCAAACTCCTTAAACAACGGCTTTTAACTGGAGTTTCATATTACATATCATTTTATGTTTGAAATTATTTAATACACAGACTCTAAAGCAGTATGCCTCCACTATAATTTAGGATCTCAACCTAAGAACACACATTTTATCTAAAGAATTCCCATCCTTCTCCCCATGATAGACTACGAAAAATGGCCGTAATTTGTTGCAATTCCTGCCAGCAAGAGATGCGGTCTATTCTACGCCTTGAATCTGGACTGAGTTGTAATTTGCTTCGTACCATAGAGTGAGGTAGAAGCCATATAATACTAGTTTTGAACCTGGGCCGTTAGGGGCTCTGCATTCTTCTGCCTGCTACTTGTGGGATCTTTGCCACTGCCACCATGTGAACAAGCCTACAACTAGTCTGCTGGAGAGTGAGACATCACGTGGAGCCATCCAACCAGGCCATTTTAGACCAGCCAATCCTCCGATTCCAAGTAGCTGCCCACAGATGGATACATTAGCCCAGCCGTGATTAGTTACACCTGGCCCTGATCAGCAGACCCACTCAGTTAAGCCCAACCCAAATTCAAATTCGGAAACCCCATTATTATGAACTAAGTAAATGGTTAATGCCAGAAGCCATTAAGTTTTTGCACGCTTCATTACATAGAAAAAGCTAATTGCTATCGATCCTTTATAATTTTTTACCTGGGAGAGCAAATTTTTACAAAACTGCCCTCTCTGAGCCAGTGGTACACTTACGACTCTGTAGTCTATGTTTAGTGAGAAATATGAACATTTGTTGTGTAAATATCCTCACCTTAATGGGATTCCTATAGAAAGACTGCTGTCCAGAAGATGGGAATGACATGGCAATAATACGCTCTGGAAGTAAAAAGAGTCATTATTATGAATGTCATTATAAATGTGAAACAATATATGAGAGCTTATTATATATGTAATCAGACTTCTTTTTCATAGAAAAGAACTTTCAGGATTGAGAATGACAGAACTACCTTTCAGATAACCAAGACAATGTATTAAATTATCCAATATATTGGGGCGCCTGGGTGGCGCAGTCGGTTAAGCGTCCGACTTCAGCCAGGTCACGATCTCGCGGTCCGTGAGTTCGAGCCCCGCGTCAGGCTCTGGGCTGATGGCTCAGAGCCTGGAGCCTGTTTCCGATTCTGTGTCTCCCTCTCTCTCTGCCCCTCCCCCGTTCATGCTCTGTCTCTCTCTGTCCCAAAAATAAATAAACGTTGAAAAAAAAATTAAAAAAAAATAAATTATCCAATATAATGACCATTAAACTCACATTGTGTTCCTAGGACTCAACTGGTTCCAGCCATATGTGACAAATTTGTGTTGACTTATAGTGGGAATTTATTTCTTATTTAAACACCAAAGAAAAATGAGAGATCTGGGCTCCAGGAATGGTGGCATTGGTGCTTTCCAGTGGTTCTGACTCAGAAACCTTGAGACCCCTTATTCTCTAGGGTTTGAGGAAGAGAAGAGGACTCTCTGAAATCCTTGCAACACAGGAAAACAACTAGGACTCAAATTCCAAACCAAACAAAGGGAGCCAGCTGGAAATCCATTCAATTTCCTGTAACCAAGCAGCCCGGATTTGAGAGATCAAAGCAGATTTTCCATTGTCAGGAGGAGTAAACTACAAATATGTTGCACTACCACAGTGGCTCATATCTTCATGGGTGAAGAATGCTTTGAAATAACATGGCTCCTCAAAATAAATAAATAAGCTTTAAAAAGGTCGGGAGGACACCTGGGTGGCTCAGTCAGTTAAGTGCCTGATTCTTGATTTTGGCTTAGGTAATGATCTCATGGTGAGATTGAGCCCCACATCAGGCTCTGTGCAGACAGCATGGTGTCTGCTTGGGATTCTCTCCCTCCCTCTCTCTCTGTCCCTCCCCCACTCACACATGAACACACTCTCTCAAAATGAATAAATAAACTTTGAAAGAACATGGCTCAGACAAAACAAGAACAAAATGAACATAATTACACACAAGAAAGATTGGAAGTTAATATAAATAAACAGTTGAACTTTACAAACCAGTAACATAAGTGAGGTCTAAGTCAAATCCATCCTTCTTGTATCGCCGTTTGTTTTCTGAAACCTAAGAGTTTAAAACAATCATTAACTTGCAAAACAAAAATCAATGTAAAATAAAGAATGTTATATAGATAAGTACAACCCTTGCCAGTATTTCCTGAAACAAACATTTTCTGAATCATAAGTATGTTTTGGCCACTTACCAGCCTTCTGGTCAGCCTTTCAAGATGTTTCTTTTGATGAGCCAGATGGAAAACTCTTATCAGAATAATAAGTCGTAGAGATTGAAATAAAATTGCCAATCTAACAGTAAAAAGATCAATTTTTGCTTTAGAAAAAGGATTTTGTCAATATGGACCAAGTCCAGAGGACTTGTTCTTAACCAGGGTGATTTTGCACATACACAACCCCCCACCAAGTCTCCTACCCACCCACCTAGGGAATACTTGGCAATGTCTGGGGATATTTTTCATTGTCATACTGTGTGTGAAGGTATGCTACTTGTATCTAGTGGGCAGAAGCCAGGAATGTTGCTAAACACCAATCAATGCACAGGACAGCCCCTATAACAAAGAACTATCTGGTCCAAACTCTCAATAGTGCTGAGGTTGAGAAACTCTGGTAGAGAGAGAAATAGTTATAAGATAGACTTAGAATTTGTGTACTGAACTTTTGTGGCTTAAGACAAGCATTTGTCAGTCATTTTCCCATCAAAAGAAACTGAGCGTTCTTGTTCACCTTTGTTATTCCCATCCGTAACAGAGGCTCACTACAGCTGCTAACATACATCGGGCAGGCAGCAGACTGAGATACTTCCCAAGTGTATTAGCTCATGTCTCTCCTACCATCAGAAAAAAACATGGCAGAGCACTGATGATTTGAATATGTGCTTCTCTAGCTTGAGTGTGCACATAATTCAGTAGGCCTGGCATGGGGCTGGAGATGTTTTTCCTTTTGCACTTCTGGCAAGTTCTTAGGTGATACTGAGGTTGCCAGAGGACCATACTGGATCCACTTATTTCAAAACAATTCCAAAAGCCTGTCATGTGATATGAAGTTTTGTTGGGACCTGAATTAAAGTCCTGGGTTACTGGAGTGCAGAAAGAAGGTGCTGGACTAATGAGCGAGTCATCCAACCTCTATATCCCAATACACATCTCCTTCCTTTTCCTCATTGCCACAGTAGCGAGAGGAAGAAAGGAGGGAAAGCCATCAGTCACTTATACACATTTTAGTTTCCTGATAGCTAAGCAGTTCTAACTTTGCTTCAGCTTTCTTCATTTCGACTATACTGTAAGTTTCCACCTCCATGGTGCTACCTATATGACCCTGTTTTCTGTTCTACTTGCTCCTTTTTAGGAGAATCATGATGGGAGTCTCTCAAATTTTGCATATGATCAAACCAATACTCTGGATTACAGGAAAAACCCAGGAATTTCAGGTAAGGAACTTGTGATTGAAACTCAATGGGAATTTCAAAACGTAGAAAAGTTAAATTAGGTACAAGAGGCCAAGTTCCTAGTTTGTTCTTTTGGTGTTCCATGTTCTTTATTCAGCTAAAAGTACTTAATGTGTACTTTAACACATTCCCAATAAACTTCACACTTCCCAATAAACAACCATGCTTTAGTGTCCAAGTAGGTGGAAATTTTTCTAAATATTTCAGTTTTGGCAACTTAATTGGCTCATATTCAACACATTCAGACTTTGAAGGATTATACAAATGGAAAGCCACAGAAAGGCACCCCCCCCCCCCCCGCAGAGAAAAACAAAAGGGAAAAAATGAAAACTTTAAGAGAAATGATTATATGTTTCTTACCTGGGGATATCTTTAAGAACCTTAAGGTCATAAAACATATAAATTATATCAACCAGTAGAGTCACTACAATGATGACAGCATCTAAGCAGTTAAGTATATCAGAAAAATACAGTCGTACCCTGTAGTACAAAACAAAGAACATTAGTTTATGCTCCTTCAAAAAGGAGATAGGGATATTTTAAGAGCACAAATTATTTGACTCATCCCATTAAGAATTTTACTTAATGGATTCTTTAAAATGCATTTACTAGACTAGACTAAGAGGGGAGACATCCAAATTCTATCCTACTTTATACATACAAATGACAAAAGCATCAATGTAGCAATTCAAATATAGTAAGAGATATGACCAAACCACTGAACAAGACGCAAGCATTGCTTTCACATATTGGACAAGAAAAGTGGGATATTTGGCAGTCCTGCTGAGCAATAGAAGCCAAATTTGTCACGGCCTTAGAGGCACTTGGCTGTGATGAGTGTAAAAGAGGGGTTTGTGAGAGAGAGATGGGCCCCCTAATTTGGCCTGTAAACTCATCATCTGGCTTTATATCCACAGTAGAATCCCAATGGGCTAGTGGCCTCCACTGTACAAAGCTGAATTTCCATCCACTTTGCCTTCCTCCCCAATACTGGCTCCCTTCAGGCAAGGACACGATGTCCCAGGGAAACCTCCTTCCAATTCTGAGGTAACCCCTCTCAGGCTCTGAGTAATCTGGAGGTAAAAAGTCCTCCCCTAAAGTGTGTGTATAGCAGTTCAGCAGGAGAGGAGACAAGCAGGCTTCTAAAATGCTCTGGATGAAATGAGGCTGGGGAATTAGTCCCTGCCTCCCACAGCTGACATGATCCAGGGCTTGGCTCACTTGATCCACCTTTTCATAAAGCCAGCAAGTAGAGAAAAACAGCTGCTGCCTCGCCACCAAGCCTTGTTGATGGGATGAACATGCTTCAGAGCTCTTGTGTAACTTTTTGGGTGGGGGGAAACTTTATAACTTATCTTTTTCTTTATTTTGATTCAAGTTAGTTAGCATATAGTGTGGTATTGGTTTCTAGAGTAGAATCCAGGGATTCATCACTTACACGTAACATCCAGTGCTCATCCCAACAAGTGCCCTCCTTAATGCTCATCACCCATTTAGCCCATCCCCCCACCCACCTCCCCTCCAACAAACCATCAGTTTGTTCTCTCTAGTTAAGAGTCTCTCATGGTTCGCCTCCCTCTGTTTTTATCTTATTTTATTTTTCCTTCCTTTGCCACATGTTCATCCGGCTTGTTTCTTAAATTTTACATATGAGTGAAATCATGTATTTGTCTTTCTGATTGACTTCTTTCACTTAGCATAATACAGTGTAGTTCCATTCACGTTTTTGCAAATGGCAAGATTTCGTTGTCATGGCTGAGTAATATGCCATCGTGTATATATCTATACCACATCTTTGTCCATTTATCAGTCAATGGACATTTGGGCTCTTTCCATACTTTGGTTATTGTTGATAGCACTGCTATAAACACTGAGGTGCATGTGTTTTGAATCAGCATCTTTGTGTCTTTGGGATAAATACCTGATAGTGCAATGGCTGAGTCATAGGGTGGTTCTATTTTTAACTTTTTGAGGAAACTCCATACTGTTTTCTGGAATGGCTGCACCAGTTTGCCTTTCCAGCAACAGTGCAAAAGTGTTCCTTCTTCTGCATTCTTGCCAACATCTGTTGTTTCCTGAGTTGTCGCTTTTAGCCATTCTGACAGGTGTGAGGTGGTATCTCATTGGAGTTTTGATTTGCATTTCCCTGATGATGAGTGATGTGGAGCATCTTTTCATGTGTCTGTTAGCCACCTGGATGTCTTTTCTGGAAAATTGTCTATTCGTGTCCTCTGCCCATTTCGTCACTGGATTATTTGGTTTTTGGGTGTTGAGTTTGATTCTCACATACCTTAACATAAATTTTTATTTTTAACTGAGGTAGGGGTTGTTCAGACCTATTATTTAGTATTTAATACACTGTCAGCTTTTATTTAGATTCAACTCTCAGGGAGAGTTTACATTTGTACTTCACACACATATTCCTTTTAATAATGTGCATGTAGGGGCACCTGGGTGGCTCAGTTGGTTGAGTGACCGACTTCAACTCAGGTCATGATCTGACGCTTTGTAAGTTCAAGCACCACATCGGACTCTGTGCTGACAGCTCAGAGCCTGGAACCTGCTTCGGATTCTGTGTCTCCCTCTCTCTCTCTGCCCCCTCCCCCGCTCATGCTCTGTCTCTGTCTCAGAAATAAATAAACATTAAAAAAATAATTAAAAAAATAATGTACATGTAGACACATCAGCTGCCTGGCTCTACTTTGCAAACCCTTTAAGCTTTACCTGTTGAAGGAACTATCCATAATAAGTTGCTGGAAACTAGAGTATCAGTTGCAACAATAAAATTAAAGCCCACTCTAGTAGAAATTGGGATTTGGATTGTTTTCTCATGGACCATGTGGACCATGCCTCCTCTTTAACAAAGAGGAACACATTCACATTTGGTTGGGTTGGCTTGGTAATTATTTTGGGATGCTTCTCAGAGCAGTACAAAACAGCTTTATAATAGGTAAAAAAAAAAAAAATCAGTGAAACTTACCCTTCTACATATACTCGAAGAAGAACATCCAAGACAAAAAATAAAGAAATAGCTAAAGAAATTAAATGAATTTCCACAGGAATATATATTGCGTTTTTAGTGACAAGCAGGTCTGTAATGACGAGGGACATATCCACAAAGATAAGCAAAATTCCAAATATTCTACAACAGATAAACAGAATAAAGATAAAATGGTTTTCACTCCTAAAGTTAGACCATATTTAGGTCAATGATCTGATAACAAAATGTAATTTAGGATTAAATTATCCACTGGTAGGGAATACTGTGTTGCCTTAAAATATCAAAAAAAATTACTAAGTTTTCGCCCAATGGAAGCAGTTATTAGAGAATTAAAATCCCCCCCACACCATTTCATGTTATCATGTCCTTTTATAAAAGACATATCAGACTAACCCTCCAAGATAGCACAGGCAACCTGAATTAAAATTACACGTCCCCACTTGTGAACTCTTCTTAAAATCTGAGAATTTTTTAAGGGGTTTCTACCAATTTCTCATAAAAAATAAAACCACATTCATACTGATTAACTTTTACAAATTTAGCAATAAAAACCAAGTGAAAGCATGACTAACATAACCTTAAAAGACCTCTTTGACCACTACGATGTTTTATCAGTGAGATTTTCAATAAGTATATGATTATATATTAATAGATGCTTCTAGCACAGTGCTAGGCACATGAGAAGGAATCATACTATATAGATGATTAAACTCTAAAGTACCTCCTAAGCCTTCCTCTCATATATCTAAACACATTCTTCATAAACTGAGTACACTACTTGTATAATCTATGAAGATACATTCATTAGCCTTCAAAATACTTTTTAAAAATTACAATTCAAATTAAAATATTATAAATTTAAAAGGAAGCAAGTATATTGTGTGACTCTGTATCATAGCATGAAATAAATCTTACTATCATGTAGAGAAGAAGCCTGAGTAAAATGGTCCCAGAATTAAGGAGTATTTCTAGACAAATAAAGTGTCTAATAAAAACACTTAAAGAATTTTTAAAAGCATGCTTCATTATTTTTACTTCTACAGGTAGAAAAAAACATACTAATATGTTACTATTAGGCTTAGGTAAATATCATTTCTTTGAATTTCTCAATGTTCAGCTGAAACTAAAATTTCAATACAAATTATGTTACATAAAATGGGGCACAAGAGCTATTTAGCAACATACTGACAGTGAAAATGTGTTTCCTCCTCCCAGGTCCTTTATCATTAAAAATATTAAATATTATGCATATTTAATTTCCTCCCTTTCTAGGGTCTCACATACCTGAATGTGAGTGATGATACAAGTGAGTACACAATTCTCTTAATCATGCTGCAACAAAAAGAAGTAAAAATTAAATTCCAGAGTCTTCAAATTTATCACAGATTTCTTCTAATATGGAATATGAATTTAGCCAATAAAAAAGGATTCTAGAAACATAGTTTTAAAAGAAAGTTCTTCAGAAGTTGCATAACAAAATGCTGTTTACTAGGATTTTCATTGTTCTGCTTCATGATTTTTAAGTTTTCATATGTGGAATAAATTCAAATAAAACTCTAAACTGTGTTTAGTAGTATTTCCCTTGCCTGCAAAGCCCCAATCCCAATTTTATGGTAATATTAAGTTGGGGTCATCAACTAAAGCAAGATAATGTAGAGACAGAAAGGCGTGGTAGAGAGATAGGCATTCCAGCTCTCCCATAGATGAGCTGAGGGATCCTGTGCAAGTTATCAAACCTTGGCCAGGTCTGTTTCCACAGCAGCCAAATAAAGGACTTCAGGGATAGGTAGGGAATAAATGATACTCTTGTCCTATAATGTTCATCTCTTGCAAAAAGATATCCCATAACACAACAGTTAATCATTAATGAGAATCACATTGGGGGTGCAAGTGCACTTTGGAGATAAAGAATTTTATTAAGATATATTTCAAAGGAGAAACACCCTAGAGATTGGGCTCCTTCCATTAATAGGAGGAGGAGAAGCCTGTTTGATGGGGCCTTCAAGTTATGCTTCATTTTACTCTATGGCTGGAGACAAGGTAGCCACTGGGGAGCAATTTATTGCCCTGCAGATGCCTACAATGTGGGACCCAAACTCCACTCCAGTGGCATCAATGTCAAAGCAGTGTTCATAGCCTGTACCCAAGACTGAACTAAACAATGGAGTGAACATATGCTGAATAGAACTGGGCACTCCCAAAATTGGCCACAGATGAATGGCAAAGCAGAGATATAAGAGCTTCCTCCTTTCTGCAAATTCTCCCTCCTCCACCTGCATCCACCACCTCTGCCCAGGCTTAGGAAGCTCAGGATAATGTGGATGTGTGCCTGATTGGCCAAAAGAGGTGAATTGCATAGAGGTTGCCATTTCTTAAAACATGCCCTTCTGATCCCACACAGACCGGATCTCTGGGTAGGGAAGAAATATTATGATAAACTGGAACTTGCTTGACAAAGTGACTACAGAGAACCATGCAGAGAATCATGAGGCACAAAGGGGGTGCTTTAATTCCCCTACCTCTTTCAGGGCTTCCCCAAACTACTTCAAGTAAATATACAATTGAGATTTTTAAAAAAGAGCATGTTAAGTGTATAGTTTTAAACAACGTGTGTGGAGTTTGCAGGGAAAGAACTGTAACTCAGTAATTCTATAGGAGAACTGTTCACATTTGAAGGAGAATCACTGTTCATATTTGAAAGGAACAGAAGAACACCCCCCAACATGCCACAGTTCAAAACATAGCAGGCATGCGTCTCTCCTAAAAACAATTACTCAAAGAAGTGCTCAACTGAGCGATGAATCAAAATGAAGAACTCAGGAATAAGGAAGATACCTCACAGGGAAAACGTGTTAAGAAATCATAAAAATTCAGAACTAGGTCTAAATAATCATTGTTAGTGTTGCATGTGGCAATGTAAACAAATGATTCTGAAACCAAGGATAAATAACATGAAATTCTCCATAATAGCATGGCTTTAATATTGCAGGTTATCTAGAGACTTCTAGGAAGATGTTGGAGTAGGAGGATACTCAGCTCACCTTGGGCACACCAGGATAGCAGCCACATCAGTGTCACTAACCCAGAAAATGACCCAAAGACTGGCAGGACAGACTTTCCATAGTTCATTATAGAGAGGAGGCCACATTGAAAAAGGGGATGTGGAGTGAGATGCAGACGGGAACAAAAGTCCTGCTGAGACTAACCACCAACAGGAAGGATCCTGCCTGGAAAAGGGAGAGGAGCAGACTCCACAGCAGGTGCCCCAGTCATGGTGCACTGGTAAGATGAGTCTCCAAAACATTTGGCTTTGAAAATCAGTGGGGCTTAACTTTGTGAATTTGTACAACCAGCAGGGCTTAACTCAGAGTACTTTAAAAATCAGTGGGCTTAGTTCTGGGAGAGCCAGAGGGTGATAGGAAACTGAGTCCTTGCCTTAAAGAGCCAGAACAACAAACAATCCCACCGAGATAAGCATAGAAGCATCAGGTTGAAAAATACCTGGGGTACAGTGAATGAGATTTATTTACTAATCTCAGAGTGTGTGCTAGAGAGTAGGGCTCCTTAGTGAGATCCCTGGGAGATCCAGGGAGAGTGGGACCATTTGCCCCCTCCCCAGCCTAGATGGCCTGGCACTTGTGGGAACCAGTGGGAACACTCTTCACCTGCCTTGCTAACACTATGCACCTGGCCCTCATGTTCTCCTGTGAATCTGCCACATTCAACATGCCCCACTCAGAGGGGCTCCCTTCAAAGCGGCATTTGCCCTGAGGAGAGGGGAAGAGAACTACACACACCAATTCCACTGCAGTCCCAGCAGTTGAAACTTATAACTGGCAGTACAGAGTGCCCTGTCAACCAATGTACATGCCACCTGAGCAGATGGACTGGGGGCAGGCATCTGATGTGATTGCCATCCACCAATAAAAACTTCCCAGGGGGCAGCACAGGAAGAGAGACCAACAGTTTGGGCCACCGCAGTTCTGGAAGATAAACTGGGGGGAGGCATTTAGATAGTCTGAGGGCCCCACCCACCAACCAAAGTTTCTCACAGTACAACACAAGGCGAGTACCCTGAGTTCAGTGTGACTACAGTCCCAGCAAATGGGTTGAAGCCAGGCATCTTTTCTGACTGCTGACACCACTCAACTGCAAGTCCACAGCGGCCCCAGACTGGCCCCCTAACAGCAGAGGAACCACACCCTGCTTACTACAGGCAACATAGGCCATTGTAGCCAACTGGACTGAAAGGAAATGAGGCTTAACCACAAGAGTAGAATGCATGCAATCCATGTAGGAGATACCTATTTTTGGTAAGGCACTACAGAACGTCTTATTCATAACGCCACTACTTTCAAGGTCAAGAGACATAACTGACTTTCCTGATACATAGAAACAAACACAGTGAGTTAGATAAAGTAAGGGAACAGAGGAATATGTCATAAATGAAAGGACAGGACAAAACTACAGCAAAAGAGCTAAAACGAAACATAGGTAAGCAATATGCCTGATAAAAAAAGTCAAAGTAATGGTCACAAAGATACTTACTGGAAAAAAAAAAAAAAAAGACTGGAGGACCTCAGGGAGAACTGTAAAAAAGATATAAAATATAACAAAGAACCAATCAGAAGTGAAGAACTCAATAACTGAAATTAAAAAAAAAAAACACTAGAGGGAATAAAGAATAGAGGCAGAAGAATGGATTAGCAAGCTGGAAGATAGAATAACAGAAAGCAACAAAGCTTAACAACAACAACACAAAAGAATAAAAATGTGATTAGGTTAAGGGAATCAAGCAAAATCATCAAGCATAGTAACATTCACATTATAGGAATCCCAAAAGGAGAAGAGAGGGACAAGGGGGCAGAAAATTTATTTGAGGATATCATAGTTGAAAACTGCTCATATCTGGGGACAGAAACAGGCACCCAGATCCAGGAGGCACAGAGAGCTCCCAACAAAATTAATACATAGAATTCCACACCATGACACATAACATTTAAAAGGCCAAAGGTAGTGATAAAAAGATTTTTTAAAGCAGCAAAGGAAAATAAAGCAGTTACATAAAAAGGAAATCCCATAAGACTATCAGCTGGTTTTTCAGCAGAGACTTTGCAGGGAAGAAGAGAGTGGCATAATATATTCAAAGTGCTGAAAGGAAAAAAAACCTACAGTCAAAAATATTCTACCCAGCATGGCTGTCATTCAGAATAGGAGAGAGCAAGAGTTTCCCAGACAAAAGTGAAAGGAGTTCATTACTACTAAGCAAGTCTTACAAGAAATGTTAAAGGAAATTCTTTCAGTGGAGAGAAAAGGCCATTATCAAAAGTAAGAAAATTATGAAAGGAAAAAATTCCACAGGTAAATACAAACATAGTAAGTAGACTAGTTACTTATAAAGCCAGTATGGAGGTTAAAGCAAAAAGCAGCAAAATCAAATATATCTATAAAAATCATTCAAGGGGTTCACAAAATAAAAGGATGCAAAGTATGACATCATATACATAAAACACGGGGTGTGTAAAAATTTAGTGCTTTTAGAAAGGGTTCAAACTTAAGCAACCACCAATTTAATATAGACTGCTATGTGCATAAGATGTTATACATGAAACTAATAATCACAAATCAAACAGCTGTAATAGATTATGCAAAAAATAAAGAGAAAGGAATCCAAGGATATCACTAAATGAGACATCAAACCACAAGGGAGAGAGCAAGAGAAGGAACAGAGAAGAACTACAAAAACAACTGTAAAACAAATAAGTACATATACCTATTAATAATTACTTAAAATGTAAATGAACTAAATTTTCCAATAAAAAGACATAGAGTGACTGAATGGATAAAAATATCTATCTATATGCTGCCTACAAGAGACTCATTTCAGATCTAAAGACATACAGATTGAAAGTGAGGGGATGGAAAAACATTTACCATACAAATGGAAGCAAATGGCTGGGATAGCAATACTTACATAAAAAAAAAAGTCTTTAAACAAAGAGACAAAGAGACATAATGATAAAGGGAACAAACTAACAAAAAAACATAACTGTATGCACCCAAATATAAATTATGCACTCAACTTGGGAGAACATAAATCCATAAAGCAACTATTAATATATATAAAGCAAGAAATTGAGAGTAGTAGCATGATAGTAGGGGACTTTAATACCCCCATTTACATCAATGGACAGATTATCCAGACAGAAAATTAACAAGGAAACTGTGGTTTTTGAATGACTCATTGGATCAGATGGACCTAACACATATATTCAGAACACTCCATCCTAAAACAGCAGAATATACATTCTTTTTGAGTGCACATGGAACAT